ATTGAATCTCTTGGCCATCGCAAGGACTCAGTTCGCCTCAGCAGAGAGAAAGTGTGGATGAATCGTCTTCGAACTATTCAACCACATGGTCTCAACATCCAACTTGGAAATGATTAATATTTTTCTTCCTCCATTGTCTTCTGTTACAGATAATCCACCTGGTCTTCATTGTTTGTGTTTCCCCATTCTTTCCCCATCTTTCATCCCTTTCCACCTCCATACTGTTCCCCCCCCCCCCCCCCCGCATAATCCCCCTTCACTCCCACACTCTTTTGTCCGTTCCCACTCCCTGTGACCTTTGATCCTTCCCCTTTCTGGTCCCTCCCCTGTTCATACCAGACCCCTTGTGGTTTGCCATCTCCCTTTGTTTCTTTGTTTTCTCATCCACCCTCCCCTGCATCTTTCCACACCTTTCCCACCTAATCCTCCTTTTGTGTTTCTTCTTTCATCCCTGCATGTTTGTGTGCACCCCCATGTTAATGTATGTACCTCTGTCATTTCTGTTTTAGCCTCTGAAGAAGAACTTGCAAAGTTCGCAACGTCAGGCCACATTAATTTTTAGATTTATATATTTCAGGTCCACCCAGTCAGTAAGCAGTTTGCAGCAGTCATACTTTTTTCAATTTTGTTTTGGTTAGAATTTATTTGAAATGTCACCGGGCGCACTTTTAATGATGCAGTGTTCGGAAACGTATATGAATGATTTTGAACAGCGCCCCCAAGCATCAAATGATGCCCAGCCCCCCCCCCCTTCAAATTTGCAACTGCCTGTGATTTTTCTCTGTTGCCCCCAAATAATTTCTTTGTCCCTCACTTCCCCCAAATTGTAGGCGCCGCCATTGCCCTGTGGTATTGCTTTCAATATCCTGGGATAAAAACCACGAGAAATGCATTTGTACAGTTATTGATGTGAAGATACCACTAGTCTGTAATGCTCCAGTTATATTTCTGGAAGAAACAACACACAGATTTATCATGCGTTTTTACTAATCAAATTCAAACAAATTTACTAAAAAGTGGCGTGATAGATTGTATTATGATTTTAGAGAGTACCGTAACCAAGCAAGAACGCATACCTATTATGTACATGTGCTAATTCTGCCTTCAGAATAGCAGAAAATCAAATGGGACGTTTTTGAAAGTTCAATTTTTTTCTGCTTTCCTGCCTTTCTGCTACCAGAAAACTGAAGCAGAAGTTACGTTAAATCACATCTACTTTTCTGCTTGTTTGCTACCTGAAAAATACATTTTACTTTCCTGCGTAATTGCTAGCGACAAAAGTGACAAGCTCTTGCTCGAGGAGCAGAAAATCAGATCGAATGTTTTCGATGTTTCCATCTTCTACATTTTTGCCGCCTATTATGTTGTGAATTTCACGTTGTTATGACGTTGAAGTTAGGTATTTCACAACGTTTCTGTGATTTTCTAATCATGACGTTGTGGTGACGTTGTATGTGGGTGTTTTCATAACGTTGTTGTTATGTTGTTAATCTCACAATGTCATGACGTTGTAGTTTAGTATTTTTACAACGCTGCTGCGAGATGACGTCGTAATGATGTTGAATATTAAGGTATTATCATAACGCTGTCAGTTGTTAAGTAGTAAATATTACGTTGTCGAGTCATGACAGTGTAGTTTGGTATTTTCACAACGTTGCTGTGATGTTTTAGCCGTGACGTTGTGATGACGTTGTACGAAGGGATTAGCATGCGTTGTTGTTAAGTTGTAAATATTACAGGGGTGAGCAAGTCTGACCGGGCCGGCCTTCACAAACGCCAACCAGGGGCGGAACCAGGATTTTCCAATGTGGGGGGGGGGGGGGTCGTGAAATGTAATGGTGAAGGCAAGTTGTGGCGCCTACGCTGAAGGCCAAAAAGGAGGGGGTGATTAAAAGTAATGCGAGCGCGTGACGAAGCCGTAATGGCGTGTGGTCCGTAGCCCGCTTATTAAGGGCCCTGGAAAATTTTGGATTCCAGATGTTCTGTGGTGCGATCTCGGGCAATATCTGACCACTTAAACAATTTTTTTTGAGTAAAAGATCAATGTTTAAATATCGAGTTTGGAGTCCTGTCATTGAATCAGCTATCCTGAAAACTCTAAAATCAAACTGTAGTACTACATTTTATCCGGGGACGAAGGAAAAGTGGGTGGGACAAACGATATGATACCCCCCCCCCCCCCGACTGTTCAGAGATGTGGGGGCGGGGGACATGTTCCCCCCTTCCATAGGCGTAGCCAGGGGGGGGGGGGGGGGGGGGGGGTTAACGGGTATTTAACCCCCCCTCAATATTTTGTAAAGACTGCCCTTTTCCATTCAAATGCCCTTTTTTTTAACCAGCGCTTACCCCCCCCCAATATTTTTTAAAGAGTGCCTTTTTTAACAAGTGCCCTGTTTTTTGGAACAAGTGCCCTTTTTAAGAAGAAAGTCGTGCTTTTTTGTGCCATTGGCCGTTACGGGTGCCTTCTTTAATTTCATGTATCGCTCTGAAAAGCCTCATACTCCGTTAGTGTGCATAATCGTCGGTTTTGAACAGCGCCCCCATCGACAGATGTTACCAGCCCCCTCCCCCGCCCCCCACTATTTGATTTTAGGGAGGCAAAGTGTCCAGAGAAAAAAATGTGTCTACATTTCAGCACGGATGAGCAAGTGCCCTTTTCAAGAATTTTTTTAATCCCCCCTCCCCCAATAAAAACGACCTTGGTAAACGTCACTGCCTCCCGATTGACGCCGAAGGCTTGTCCGCCGTGCGTCCTGTATGCTAGAGAGGTCTGGGTGCATTTTCCTGTATAATTATGTACGACATAATTTAACAGCATAGGTTTCGTCGCGCGCGCTGTCTTGTCGCAGTTTTTGATCCCGTTACTTTTTAATCTTAGTAAAACTATAAAAGTATTACAGACCCCAATAATATTATTGTTGTCTTGTGTGCAACTAGTCCCAACAGGCTATGGTCTGACTCGTTTGGGGTCTCTGCCCTTCTCTATATCTTGCTTTTATTTTTTCAGGAAAAACAGGGGCGTGCACCCACGACCCCCCCCCCGATCCGCCCCTACCAAGCGAACATCTTGCTTTACTAAATCTACACTGTTAAAAATGTCCGTAAATATTACGGACTCCGTAAAGTGAAATATTCCGTATTTTCGGCGTAATTTTACGGACTTTCCGTAAATGCAAATATTAATTATGCTAATTAGCGTGATTACAATCAACCACATCGGCCCAAACACCTACACATAATATAGTACATCCAAGTACATATTGTTATTTCACCCACAACCGTGTACACCATGTCCAAACTCATGTTAAGGGTCTGTTTATTTTACGGAATGAAAAAAAACTTTTCCGGAAATTTTGCTGCAGGAATACGGAACGCTTTTTGCTGGCAGCAAAATTTCCGAAAATGTTCGTCGCCCAGCTCACTTCTCAATTTGAATTTCAAAAAGTCACCACTAGATTTCATTTAAGGTTCAGTATAATTCAAATTTTTACCCTACCGACTCGTCCAAAATCTCTGAAATTCGTCTCGTGAAGCAATCGGCGTTGAATTGACAAAGCAAATTCGGTTTTGTCATTCATTTTCATGTTGTTATCATCACATTTCGTTTCTGGCGGCTCAAAACATTACGATTAAAAATGTGCCCAATCTTTGGACTTATTTAAAGAATTGTGCACATTAATTAAATTTAAATTGTTAACAAATGATTCCTTATAAACGAAAGAAGTTAGCTGTAAGTTTTGAGTTTTCATTGACAATTAACATTGAAATCAGAAATAGAACTTTCACAATATGCTCTTTGTTTAGCATATGGAAATTAAGCATTGACATCAAATACCTTCGTAATGTTGCTCTTTGATATATGTATATGAATATAACAACAGAAATAAGGTATGTCTATCAAAGAGCAACATTAAGAAGGCGTTTGACCTTAGGCCTAATGTTTGGTGTTCGTGTCATATTGTAAAATGTCAATTCCTGACTCTAATGTTAATTGTGAAACACAGAAATAAAAATGCATACCTTATACAGCTAACAACTTTTATTTATACATAATACGGTAATACGTGTTGAAATTATCATTGTTTTAATGCGCACAATTCTTCAAATAAGTCTAAAGATTGGCTGCATTTTTTAATCGTACACACTTTAAGTCACCAGAAACGAAATGTAATAACAACATGAAAACGAATGGCAAAAAACGTATTTGCTTTGTCAATTCAACGCCGATTACTTCACGTGACGAAATTCAAAGGTTTTGGACCAATTAAATCGGAAGGCTAACAATTTGAATTATACTGAACCTTAAATGAAATCTAGTGGTGGCTTTTTGAAATTCAAATTGAGAAGTGAGCTTGGCGATAATCGGGGACGAAATTGAATTATCGATATAGGGAATTTGTGTGATAAAAGTGTTAAAATAGCCGGGAAAACATAATAGGCGATTTGGCAGATTTTTGTTAAATGTAGCAGTAGCAGAATTTTGCCATTATCTTGCGGTCACCCTGGATCAGGGTGACCGTTTTAGCTGATTTTCGGCTAACTTTGACAGAATTTTTGTTAAAAAACGAGTTTGACAGAAAATTTGACAGAATTGATTTTTTGGGCAGATTTCTGGCAGATTCTGCAAAAATGGTTATTTGACAGAAAAACAGCAAATTTGAACAAAAAAGTGTACATTTGTTTAAAAAAGCTTCAATCCTTTTCAAACAAACCCTTGCATAATGGGACAGGTTGGCTGGTCTAGGTGCTGAGGTTCATTGGGAAACGGACTTTTGTCACCTGATCAGCATTTTGCCCGAAATTTACCAATAACTTCACAACATCTTTATGCGACTAGATTTGCTAATTATGTAATTTGAATCTTAATTAAGGCAATACTACCAATCTGCATGTGATTTTAAGTGTTTATAGTGTATTTCGAGTAATTCTGAGGAATTCGGCAGATTTTGATAAATCTGACAGATTTTTGATGTGCATTTAGCAGAATTTGGCTCTGACCTTACGGTCACCCTGCCCTAGATGTACGTGAGATCGAGACCGCACCAGCGGAAAATGGCTGACTTCGAGTTTGACCGTTTGACCTGACGACGAGCTTAAAAAAAGTTCAATGTTTGTCTATTTCCAGTAAAGTCTAGCCAAAATGACGACCACTTGTGAGTGGTGTTTACGCCGTTACGGCAGTCAGAGTAAAAAGTATGCTGTTATTCCCCTTCCATCGGGAACTGAGGTAAAATTACAGATTAGTGAATAGTGTTATGCGAATGGAGCCAGTTTGGTATTCCAACTGCGCATGTGCACAAGATTCGACTATTTTTCTTTCACTTTTTCCAGGATAAACGCAGTAGATAAATGCATAAAAAGGCTATGGGGGATATTGTAACCGAATCTGCATTCTGTGAAATTTTTCATACAATTTGAAAGACGATGGAAACTTTCGTTTGCACAGTTTGGACACAAGACAATGCAAGACCCGTCATGCCCGTGAACGTGGCGTTGTATCGATATACAATGCCACGCTGTTGTGTATTTTCGAACCTAGCGAAATCGATCCGCCATACATAATTTCGTATGGATGTTGAGTACTCATCTAGAAATCTAAATTTGCCTGTCCGCGTGTTCAGGATGTGTCATTTCGACGAAATTTGCCATCAATGAAGATGTCACGCCCCAACTATCGCATTGGTCCCAACTGTAGTTGGGACTGTCCCAACTATAGTGCGGCAGTTGGGTCGGCCCAACTATAGTTAGGACTGGAGTTGCGCCGGATGCTTCATGCTTGATAGATCTTGTTGGATTAAATGTTCCGCGGCGCTGGCACCATGTATTCGTCGTGCATGCATGCCGCAAGGCTGGCCGGTCATGTGGTACTGCCTAGTTGGATGAGTTGTCCAGCTGCTGGGTTTTATTATCCAGCAACATTTTGCAAAATTCAAAGATTGCCATGGCCCGCCAACTATAGATGGGCCCCACCCATAGCTAATGTCAAAGGTCCCAAGTCGGACATGTAAGCAGAGCTGTAGGGAATGTTTTATAATCGTACATCAATGTAAACTATAGTTGGGACTGCCAAATAAAAATATTGCGGTGGCCCAACTACAGATGGTCCCCACCCATAGATCATTTCATTGGTCCCCAGTAAAGTCAGATGTGTATTAGAGCAGTGTAGGGAATGTTTTATAATCGTACAACAATGTACACTATAGTTGGGACCGCAAAATAAAAAGATTGGGGTGGCCCAACTATAGATTCGCCCCATCAATAGCTAATTTCAGTGGTCCCCAGTAAAGTCAGACGTGTATCAGAACTGTAGGGAACGTTTTATGGTTGTACATCAATGTAAACTATAGTTGGGACGCCGCAAACTAAAAAGATCGGAGTGGCCCAACTATAGATGGGCCAGCCCAACAATGGAACTTACAGTTGGGACCGTCCCAACTATAGTTGGGACAGGCCCAACTATAGTTGGGCCAGCCCAACTGTGGAACTACAGTTGGGACAGGCCCAACTATAGTTGGGACAGGCCCAACTATAGTTGGGACCGATGCGATAGTTGGGGCGTGACAGAGACCCATACAAACGTGTAGAAATTAGATTTTAACCTGACAAGTGACCCTGACAAATGACCCTGGACGAGTACCCAGGGTCATTTGCGTGCAAAATTATCGGAGCCCTCCGAGCTACCCGTCTGCTTCATGTGGCGCATATGGTAGGCGGCGTCTGATTGGCCAATAACAAGACCACGTGATAAACACAGCTAATAATTTGGAATCGCACTTATGATCCGGACATCAGGAGTGCCCGGAGCATCAGTGCGATACCAAATTATCTGCAGCATTTATCACATGGTAAATCACATGCATCAGGAGGAGGTTGCAGGATGTCGAGATCTTGCCAGATTTTACCTCGAATACCGTTCAAATGCCAGATTTGGTGTAAAAGCAGATTTCAACATGTTCAAGAAAGCTTGATATGTGAATACTTATCACACAGTAAGGCAATGTTCAGTCTTTGTCATGGAAGGACGATTTCGCTTGGTTCGAACATGTACAAGCATGACAAGAGCGTGGCGTAGTTTACAAGCCACGTTTTCGGTTCTAGGACACACTAAGCATGACATATTGACAAGACATGGCTTAAATTAAAGAAAACACTTCGCTGTCCAATTATTTTTTGAAAAATATTACTTCAGAACACAACGACAACAACTAGGCGTATCAACTTGTGTACAAGCTCTTTAATTTGTGCTGCTGGTACGCTTTTGCACGTATAGGCCTACGATGAAATGTTATCCCGAAAGAAAAATCGTCGAATGTTGATCATGTGCACAATTAAATCAAATCCTACATTTAATTGCAGAGTATTTCTTCTTCTTTTTCTGATATGTGGCTCTGGAGGATTTTTTTTCAATGGGAAATAAAGGCCAAAATTGGTCTGATTCCCATCTCTTTAAACACAAAATCACAATGACAATGTAAGCGCAGAAACAGATCAAGATTCATCATGGTAAAAATTTATCACGGTTAAAAAAATTCCCAACTGTGCATACAGTCATGCTAATGCAGCTTATGGTGCTACCTGTGCAGTTCATACATTGTTTTACAAATTACTTATTGCTTCAAAATGTCAGTCTATTTTTGTGCTGCTTTTGAAAAAAAAACTGTTTTGGATACATAACATTCAAAATCATTTCAAGAAAACAATTTTCTGAAATCTCTATACAGGTGACCTTAGGTCGAGGTCAGGATGTGACTGTCATGCTGCTACCAAAGAAGAATCCACTGATGCTGTCAAGAAAACATGCCATCTTTAAGGAGACAGCGCGGGGGCAGTGGGCGGTCATTGATAATAAGGTACGTGTGTCTTAGTCCCATTCTAGGGCCACTCACTGGACTTAACTCTAAACTTTGGCCAATCGGCCATGCTACTCAGTCTACATAGAATTCTTGAAAGGATGTCTTTTTTTTCAACAGAATCATTCGGCCTGATATTCGGCATATGTTTTCACTCGCCCAACTGTTCACTTTTTTTCGCAAAAGTTGCAGCTCCGCTATGATTCCTTCCAACCTTCTGGTGAAATTTGTCTCCTAATTTTGACCCGAAATGGGAGTTTGTTTTGTAAGTTTTGTTGTGACAAAATATCTCCTTTTTTCCCGATTTTGGGCATCTGCAGCCCTCTGAAAAAAAAGGGCTTTCATTTTGCATGCAAAGCAGCCCTGCAAGAGCCAAATTATTGTCTGGCAGCCAATAATTAGAATTTTGAAATAATTCAATAAATATCTGAAGGTGTTTTTCTTTGCTTGATGTCTCATTTAACAGTGAATAACTTTTATATTGCTAGGAAAATAGCATTTGAAAAAGCAGCACATCTGCTTTTCGAGGTGAAACCCGAAAATAGCATGGGGAACGTTTCTTGAAGGTTATCAAATTTGTGTCTGTCATTGTAAGTGCACCTTTTCTGTTAAAGGTATAGTCCATCATTTGTAATTTGTGCATTTTGTTCGTTTGAAGCAACAATAGTGCTCAAATTCTAAGGAAGGGTGCTGAACAGCTAACCTGATGAAGTTTCAGCTCAGCTTCAGCTGTATATTTCGAGAAAAACAACATTCTAGGATTTCGATTTCAAATCAAAAGTTGCTGAATCATGTTTTGAATTGGGCCTGAATTCTCACTGAGCCGATTGCAGCTATGCGATGTCGCGCACCGATCATCCGACGAATTATAGCAACCACGCGCGCGTGTGCATCGTGCCAATGCTTGCACGCACTTCGCCTATTGAAAAAAAAACCGAACTACTATAAACGGAAATTTCCAACGGTGCTTCTTAAGACGCACCGTTGGAAAGGCCCTCTTTCGTTAATTTCTTCAAAATGACAGCTTACCAGAAAGAATAATTTCACAGGGAGTTTAGTCCCCTTACTATCTTTCAACCAAGTATGTTTTTTAACAATAAATACGCCAGTTATTTTTTGGATTGCTGCAAATGATGGACTCTGGCTTTAACCAATAGCCATTGTGAAGCCCGGTTCATTTTTGGCATGAAAGCGAAAGCGAACGTGAATTTGTGGCGTCATGGCAAGGATTTGCACTGCGAATTCGTAAAACTTGAACGTATTTCAACTCGGGCGAATTTTGCAGCGAATGTTTCATGACGTCAACTTCGCTTCACATTCGCATGAAATATGAACCGAGCTTAAAGCAATGCCATGAATTGGGAAAATAAAATTATCTTTAGTTCTTAGAGTACAAAGAAATTTTGAAGTGTTACTGTCTTTATAATAGATGAGTGACGAGTCTTGTTAAGAACCCCTGTATTTCTCCATGACCCCACTACACAAACGGCTGCATCAGAATAAAGTGGCTGTGGCTTGCAATTATGCATCAATCTATGGGAATGCCGGAAGCCACTTCCCATGGACAAGTGTTACTGCTAGCCATACCCAAGCAATTTCCACACGGCATAGCATTAAAACAGGGCACTATTTGCATAGTCACAATAGCCAAGAGAGCGCACTTTAGTTTTTTGCTGAGATTTGTTGTACACATTATTCTTGACAGTTGAATTGAATAGATATCTTGACTGAAATTTTTTTTGCATTGTGAATTATAGAGTCTCAATGGTGTACATGTCAACTCGTCCAGAATAAAGTCTCTGGAGCCTCATGTTCTCAGAAACGGGGACCATGTGCAACTTGGAGTAGTTGCCGTAGGGGAGGACCAAGCAGAGTTTGTCTTCACATTGACACAGGAGAGCTTTACGCCAGAGGATGCTTCACAAATCCTTGATTCCTACAGTAGCCAAAGAAACAGGGGAGCAGGGGGAAGAACTGACAGTCGTAAGGAGAGTCAGGAATCACAGCGTATGGTTTGCAAAAGAACTAGTGAAAGTAACGACGGCGTTGCCCAGGGTAGGATAGATCAGGAAGAGAAAAAGAGGAAGATGGGCACTTATCCAGCGACAAACACGGACAGGAATGAAAATCCAGGTCCCTCCTCTGGGTCACCGTCTGCCAAGAGAACTAAACTGTCCTCTGCAACTGAGCAGGAATTGTCAGCGACGCTCCTTAAGGAGAAGAGGCTGGCAGAGAAGAAAGTGGCCGAGTCTGAAGAACAGTTTAAGGAGCTTACTAGAATGCTGGCTGTGCAGCAGTCAGCCAGGGAACTTCTGGAGAAGCAGCTCAAGCAGAAGGAGCAGGATATTAGCCGGGAACTGGAATCGGAGAAGGAAGAGCTGGAGAATAAGAAGAAGCAACTCCAGGAGGAGATGGAGAAGGCTGTCCTGCAGCAAGTCCAGCAGAAGGAGCAGAAGCTTCAGCAGCAGCTGCAACAGCAGCAGGATGCTCTTGCCGATGAGAAGCTTGCCCTGGAGAAGAAACTGAAGGATGAATGGGAGAAACGGCTGCTGGATCAGGAGAAGCAGCTCCATGCGGTCCAGGCAGAGATGAAGTCCACCCTGGAGGCACAGGTCCAGGAGAAGGAGGCCATCATGATGGAACAGCTCAAGGCTCAGCGGGAGGAGCTTCTCAAGGAGAAGATGCGGGTGGAGAACAGCCTGCAGGAGGAGTGGAGCAAAAAGTTGGAGGAGAAGGATAAGACACTTGGCAAGATGCAGGAAGACCTAAACGCAACTCTGGAGGAGGAAATTAGGAAGAAGGAAGAGATGATGCTGCAGCAACTGCAGACACAGCGTGAGGCCCTACAGGTAGGAGTCAAACATCAATGTGAATTTTAATTTTACAGTAATTGCACAAAATGGTCTTACAACATTTATAGTTACATTAGTTTACAAAACTTTCATTTGGTTAGTTTACTATAACTAAAGAAAGTGTCAGCATGAACAATAAATTTAGTTGGAAAGGTTTGGACTTCTTTAATTAATCATTCCCATATCCAGAAAATTAGAAGAGAATACTCATGTCAATGCATCAACATTGTCGCGTTCTGTAGATCATCCCGAGTACCTCTTTGAAGCTCTTCAAGTTCTTTTTTCTTCCAGAATGAGAAAGCCAAAGTGGAACTCAGCCTGCAAAAGGAACTGGAACGGAAGTTGGAGGAGAAGGATAAGGACCTTCAGGCTGGGCTTGAGAGAGAGAAGGCCAAACTTGAAGAAGTCATCGCCAACAAGGAGCGAGAATATGGAGAGCTACAGACTGAGGTGTGTTTAACCCTAACCCCCTAGGCATTTTTGCTTAGAACCATCCTTAATCCTCCAAAATCCTCCAAAAGTTTACAACAGCGCCTAAATTCTTCAAAATTTCAGACAGTCCTGCCCCAAAATGCATTCATCCTCCATCCTCCAAAATCCTCCTCATTTAAAAATGTTGCACTTATGTTCAAATGAAGGGTACCCAGCCCCTCAATCCTTCAAAATCGTCAGACAGTCCTGCCTCAAAATACCGTAGCCTCAATCCTCCGAAATCCTTTTCTGAAAAATACCATTCAGCCTCAATCCTCCAAAATCCTTATCTAAAAAAATACCATTCAGCCTCAATCCTCCAACATCCTCCAAAACCACAAGGAGGATTTTGGAGGATTGAGGAGGGTTAGGGTTAAAGGCTCTTCCGATATCTTTTGCTAAATGGTGACGGTAGGATTGGTTCTAGACAGTCAAAATCAAACAGCTCTGAAGTTGGATCAGCATGAGGACTAAAAATGGTTATGTGTGGCAATATATCTATATAATTAGTTGTGACTGGAAGTAAAATATTGCCAGTAATGTATATGAACTTTCTGGGCTGGTAGAAAAGGGAAAATTTCAGCTCCGACAGGATCATTACGTTCACTGAGTGTGTCAACCAATTCGGAAAACATAGCCAAATACTCAGGAAGACCGCTAGCCTTTGTTGCTAACGTTGGCCAACAATCGGTCGGAACAGTCGGTCCAACTTGTGCAAATGTAACCAATGTTGGCAAACGTTTGCATTGTTCGCGTAAGTGGACACACCACAGCACCGATGATGCAAACTCTCTCAGCTATAAGCATTGACCATAAAGGATTTCTGTGTTATGTATCTTAGCTGACAGCAAGTCGACTTGAAAAGGAAGCGCAGGAGATTTGCATCCAGAAGGCAAAAGAGGAGGCACTCCAGAACATCACTGACGTCATGGAGAATGAGCTGCAATGTAGCATCTGCTCGGAGCTCTTCATTAAGGTATGTTGTTTGCAGGTGCTTGTGCTTGATCACAAGTCATCCGAGGTCAATCACATGTCAATCACAAATTAGTTACATTCTATCATAAGTCAATCACATGTCAATCATAAGTCATCAAAAGTCAATCACAAGTTAATTACAAGTCAATCGCAGATCAAACATGTGTCAATCATAAGTGGTCACAAGTCAATCGCAAGTCATCAAAAGTCCATCACAAGTCAGTCACAAATCAATCACATGTCAAAAATAAGGTGTCACAAGTCAGTCACAAGTCATCAAGTCCTGGATTTTTGAATGGACTGTAACAAAGGCTTTCCTTTTGGTTTTCGTTCATCCCTTGTTACTTGAGACTGGACGCGTCAATTGACTTGTGATTTACTTGTGATCGAACTTGTGATGTACTTGTGGTCAATCAATGGTACCCCGAGCACAACCCTGTCAGTCACAGGTGGATCATTAGTCGGTTGCCTTTGTCATGGTTCCTTCAGATAGCTTGTGACTTGACCGGTGTTGTACTCAAGCCCATCACAAGACCATCACAAGTCGGTTCACAAGTAAATCACAAATTCCTCCACCAGTCCAGTCCCAGTAACAGTGGGTGAACAGTTACAAGGGAATGCCTTATTTCATAGGTCATTTGAATAGCTTGAGACTTGGGACTTTGGACTGGATGACTTTTAATGGCCTTCTAAGCTTTTGTAAGCACCTGTGATGGATACGACTTCAACATTGATTGCTCGTGCATTGAGCTTGATTATTGTGATATATTTATCACTTTTTTATCAATGTTTAGGAGATTCTTCATTTGGCTATTGTGAATAGACTTAATAGTACCCTCCACATGTTCCATACACATAGCCTTAATGCCTTTGAACTTCATACATTAAAGGGACACTGGGTCCTAGAACAGCCCAATTGGGCTACAAAACGCGCTTTGAAAGAAATTATGTTAATCTGAAAGAACATTTAAAAGTAGGATGTAAACATCGACACAACTATCCTTTCAAAACTGGGCGTTTTTGTGTTATTCCTGTATTATGCGTGCCTGAACAAATTTCGGGGTCCACTTTTGCAACCCCAAATATTCGAGCTGTTTTGATGCTAGTTGTGATTTCATCCGTAAAGTGATTTGCCTTTTGTGGACGTATAAGAAACCATATTTTGTGCGTTGGTAAATGGTCACCGCGTGCTGTTCGCGAGTACGGTGCTGTATGTGTATACATAATATTGTACGTACATTGACTGAAAGTGAAAACGACAGGAAAAGCGTATTCGTACTCCGTCGTGTCCGATGTAAACAACCAAGGTTTTTTTGTCTTTTCTCGGGAAGGGTAAGACAGGTTAGGTTGGTTTCCTTTGAACCAGATGTTTGAAATAGGACTAAGTAAATGATCCAAAACATGCAATTTTCGGGGATTTCAGGACCTAGTGCCCCTTTAAACAACAGGTGATACATTATGACCACTTTGGGGCCCCTGTGGGAGGAACACAGCATGTTTGTGTACTGGTTTGCATGTGTCTAGTGCAAATATGAACAACTCATTTGATTGTGCACAAACCCATATTGTGTTCGCGAAAGCACCAGGTGTACAGCGGCAATGCATTCAAGAGTTTCTCCTTGCCGTCTCGCCCAAGTCTCTCTTAGTCAATACCCAGGCATCTTGGTATCTTTCAAACATCATGTTTTCTATTTTTGTCCAGGCCACCACGCTGAACTGTTCCCACTCCTTCTGTAACTTCTGCATCGAGAGCTGGATGAAGCGTAAGCGGGAGTGCCCGGTCTGCCGTGCCGCGATCACCTCCCACAACCACTCCATCGTGTTGGACAACTACATCGACAAGATGGTGGAGCGGCTGAGCGAAGAGATGAAGCAACGACGCAAAGAGATCGTCCAGGAGAGAAAAAGTGAGCGCCGATCTTGAGGCCGGCAATAAATTGCAATCAATGAAACCCCGGGGGCTACAGTGAAATCTTGATAAGTCAAACCTCAAGGGAATGGGTTCAAAATTTGACTTCAGAAGAGTTTTGAGTTAAGCAGGGTTGTATAGCATTGTTATACTACTGAAGGCAATGGATTCTTTGTTTGACTAAACAGTAGTTTTGAGTTGTTCAGAGTTTGACTTATCGAGATTTCACTGTAATTTATGCTTAATTAAAATATTGAACAGACCTGGAGGTGGCCTGGGCTGAATTTCATGAGCCTCTGTCTATGTCATGGAGACCGTAGGTAGTAAGCATAGCGAAAGCATGCTTAAACCACACAGGACAAATTTGCTTAAATCAATGGCGTAACATCTCCATGTGGGTGCAACCGTTAGCACATCCGCACTGTGAAATAGTGCTTAAGGTTAGCACAATTTTCTGCTATGGTAAGCACAACTTTTCTGCTAACTGTTAAGCATGAAATTGGGCCCTGTTCTGTTACGTATTGGGGGTTTTCAGACATATTTCTGTACTGAAAAAAAAAGGAAGCCGATTCAAAATTAATTGGATTGTAACCACATTTTAAGGATGTGATTTTCAGAGGTTAGTGCTATAGTGTAGCGAGTCCTCAGAAAAGTCATGATTACTTATGGTGGATACGTGAGTCTCAAAGTGGCCCTAAACATTCTTGAACAGCATTTGCCTGTGAGCACTTAAGCTGTTGTTTTGACATTACCATTCAGCAAATGTGGTCTGCTCCCACAATTCGATAAATGTAGAAGGCCTAATAAACTTAATCAAGTAATTTCATTATTTCATTTTTAATATGTTTCATAAGATAGAATTTGCGTCGGGGTGATGAATATCAATATTAGCTTTTTGCCCTTCACCGACGTATAAACACTGCACTAGAAAGCAGGAGGTTGTGGGTTCGAGTCCCACCCGAGTGATTTTGTTTGTCCAACTTTCACTCGGGAGGCACACTGAGCATACAGTGTTTATACATCGGTGAAGGACAAAAACCTGATGTTGATTATTAATATTGCTAATATTGCCATTAGCCGAATCAAAAATCGGACATACATGTATCCTAATTTTTTTTGTGGAGTTTAGTTTGATTCACAAGTTAAATCACAAGTTAAATCCCAAGTTAGATCTTAAGTGTAAAAGAGTACAGCAGCACGTACCTATAACGAACACAGCTATCCTGAACATTTTGGCTATACTGAACATCCATATTGGCTTCCGAATTTTGTGTTGTATTTTACTCAGCATATGGAACTGAAAATCTCAATAAAGAACTACTGATAGAGAAAACAAGTTTCCGTGAAAGTCGTTGTGTTCATTGTAGTGAAGTTCTACTGTACCACGGGATGAAAGTGACACAGGAATACATTTTGTGTCACAGCTGATTAGCTTGTTAACTGACGCGAGATTTAAAATCTCGCGTTTTCTCTGAAACAGAAGGACTTGTGATTGACTTGTTACAAAATTGTAAAGACAACAACTCAGAGGATTGATTCTCTTGTAGAAGTCCATACAATATCGTGTCGAAACACAATTCAGATATTCTAAAAAGATGAAGAAAAAAACAGAGAAGCCGAGCCGACTATAGTCCTATCTTTCTCACCAGTTGACAGCGCTAACCCGAGACCCCTCTCCCCGATTCCAATCGAGATCTCTTCGGAGATTGACAGCGAGGAGATTGACCACAGCGATATTGACCATAGCGAGGAGGTGGAGAATAGTGAGGAAGATGAAGACGAGGATGAGGATTATGGCTTCGGCTGGGGCCGCCGCAACAGGGGCGGAGCTTGCTTTAATTGTGGTAAGTCTTCTTAAGTATAATATCTACGTTTTGCATTTAAGGAGTAAGTCTTGCCTGGACGAACTGTACCTCAAAGTCTTGGTTCAGGACATTATGTGTAGAGTTTGTTTCCAAACATGATAAACGTTATTTTATTACTTTTAAGAGTCCCGCCTTCTCCTGGTTATCCAAAGTTTATTATCGACGGTTGTTATACACTTAAACACAATTTAAAAATACAGCAAATGGGAAAAAAAAAAAATTGAAAAAAAACCCGGCTATTATTACCTCCACAAAGCAGGTTATGTTTTCATCAGATTTGGTTAGTTTGTTTGTTTGTTGGTTGGTTGGTTTGTCTGTTAACAAGGTAACTCAAAAAGTTATGGACGGATTTTCATGAAAATTATTTTTGGGTTGGTCCTTGGTACAAGTACAGATCGATTCGATTTTGGAAGTGATCCGGATCTGGGTCTGGATCCAGGACTTTTTTTAAGGATTCTTCACCATTTATGCAAGTATTTCTTTTGGGTGTACCGACAGTGTGGCAGGGAATTGTTTAGCCTTGGTGGAGGTTTGCTCTCTCTGAGTGCTTTCTAGTGTTGTGCATGTCCTTAAAGTTTTCATAACCGTGCAACTTTTTCACTTTTCTTCAAATGGATATATCGCATTTTGGAAAAAAAGTCTTTATAAAAATACTCATTGAAAGTCATTCAGAGACTCGGTAGTCTAAGTCCAAGACAGGATTTGGATTTTCTTGACGTGCCGCATGAAATGCCCTCCCAATGACTGGGTATAGTTTGCAGGATTCAACGACCACTGGGCCTTCACAAAAACACTCCAGAGCTGTGATGTTGAAATCAATGGATGGGAACTCTCTGATAAGTTGAATGGGCAGGCTATTCATTAATCAAAAAGACCATTAGCAAGTGAATGCAGTTACAATCAGAGGCCATGGAGCAAATTCGGGGATGTTCCAGCTGTTTTGTTTAGCCTGTGTGACAAAAAATAGAAGGTCTTATTTTTGTAAAGGTTGGTTTTCAAATATCCGCTTTCCAAAATCGAAACGGAATGTTAAAGAATCCGGATTTAAATCCCACTAACTACAGGGTGAGTAAAAAAGCACGAAACCCAAATGTCGGGACCATTGTTTTAGTGAAGTTCTGCATGTAGCACTTTCAAAATCTAGGATATGAAAGCCCAATTCATAAGCTTTCTTTAAGTACAAGAATCATTCAAATTACTTGTGTACTTTCAAGATGCGGAGTTTTAAACACAACTGCCGTTTTAAAGTTCTGTCCACGGATCACAAAAAAGGTGCGTGTTCTTCCAGCAAAACGAAAACAATTTACACACATCCTTATGTGATTTGTTTTTGTTTTGCTGAAAGAGCACTGAATTTTTGGTGATCCGTGGACAGAACCTTAAAATGGCGGTTCTGTTTAAAATTCCGTAACTTGAAAAGTACATGAGTGATGTGAATGATTCTTGTAATAAAAAAAAGATAGCTCATGAATTTGGCTTTTGTATCCTGATTTTGAAAGTGCTACATATGCAGAACTTCACTAAAACAATGGTCCCGACATTTTTTTTTTTTTTTTTTTGACTCACCCTGTAGTTCCAATGACTAGGCAGGAATTTTTTCAATTTTTATTTATTTAGCGGTATCAATTTCTTTTTGTTTGTGTGTTCTCTTCTATAGGAGAATCAGATCATTGGGTGCGGCAGTGCCCATATAGATGAAGAATCAGAAGACACAATGGGACGTAGTAGGTAATCGCCACCCTATAATGTCCCAGATGCCACAGGGTGTGTGTGGACTGGTGCTCAAGTACGACCTCAAAAGTGACGGCGAGAGAGATATACGACAGACACACGCTGCCGCCGTGTACCCAAAGTCCACACGAAAGCACTATTTCCACAAGTAAATTAATTTCAGCTGTACATACTCTAGGGCTGTGTATTTTTCGAACAATTAAGTAGTTGATTGTTGTAATTTGGACTTGATAGAATATTGCGCTGATCAAGTTTAACAAGCTAGCCTAAACTGGCTGCCGATCGGAATTTGTGTGAGCCTGCGCTTGTTGAATCGAAAAAAAAAGGTATTCGGAAAGTTGGTTGATGCCATCATGCCATAAGCATGGAGTGAATGCACATGTACATGTATAGTGTGTACATTGAAGTGAATATCTGAGTTTGTAAAATTGTTTGCCAAACTCAATTCTGTAAAGGCTTTTGATGCATTTGGTGACAAGCTTTTGTATCACATCAATGGCACAAGTTTCATTTTCGTCAAAGTTGAGATTCGTTGTCCTACATGTTCAAAGGTCCTCTGATGAAACATCAATGTTCCTACAAAAAAAATTTGAAAGATTTTACCAGAAAGGGTTTACGTACTTAGTTTATTGTTTAAAAAAGTTAACAATTATTTCGTGTTTCCAAATGTAATTTTAGTCTAAATCAGTGTTGAAGTCGAGGTACTTGTGATGAATCACAAATCATCACAAGTCATCCCGTCATAAGTCAAGTCACAAGCTATTCACATAAGTTACTTGTGACCATACTTGTGATTTGACTGGTGACCAAACTTGAAACCAAAGTTGTGATGTCCTTAGGATCCATCACAAGTACCTGGACTACAACACTGATCTGAATTCATACTTGCACGGTAATCGATGCAGTCTTGCACAAAAGGCAAATTAACTGCACACGTTTGCATGTGTACCAGTCTACAATTAAAGGTGATATACAACATTTGCTTTTGCTGTTATTTTCAGAAATGGGCAGATCTGGGGGCAAGTACATGTATTTTGTAGCAAATACCGTTCCACTGACCTGCTTTGAAAGTTCTGTGGTCAGGAATGCCGGGGAAAAAAGTTGTTCTTGTAGTCTGGTTCCCTGTCCCTACATGTGAAATTTCATCAAGTTCTTAACACTCCTGTTCATAAATCGCGAGTTTATTTACCCGTTATAAAATTGGAAGAAAAATTTATTTTGGCGTGATTTTCCGATTTTATTTTCAAGTGCAAAGTGAACCCTTCGAAAATGCCCCGAAAAATATGAAAAAAAAAATTCTGACTAACATCTGGCTGGGTATGTAACTAGAGATAATAATTATTTATCAGAATTTATCAAGTGTACAGAAATTCTTAAATGTTAATTTGGAATTTTCCCAGATTTATTTAAGTGCGCTACGTTAGGGAACACTCCGCCAATTTGTGCCCAATTTCCGGACGCCACCGTTTTTGAATTTCGGATTAAATTTTATGAAACCGAAATTTTTCACAGAGGCTAAATAGCAAGCATTAATATGGTAAAAGTACTAGTATTTTACTGCATGAATTTGAGGTTTGTTAACAAAGAGGTTTGGCAACACTACACAAGGAAAGTTAAGTAAGCTTCGAAGTGCGCCACGTTAGGGAACACGACTATATACATGTAGATTTAACAATTGAGCAAATGCTGTATTTATGCATTCCATCCGTCCAGATGTTAACATTTTGGACTGATACATGACTTGTGTATTCATTTACTGAGCAATTTCCTTTCTTTTTCTAAATGGTGAAGTTGCAACTTCAGCCTGCATGCATTATGAAGGTGTAGACATTGTGCCTTTGTTTCAAGTTGCTCCATGCTTGTATTTTCTGAACTATAAATTGACAGCGTGACAGTTTCCAATATAATTTTGAAAAGAAATTAGAAGTAATGTATACTGGTACTTTGCAGTTTATTTTAAATGGAGATAAGATTGCTGAATGTGATATGTATTCAGTCTGTTTTGTGGTTCTGAAAATGTTGTTTTGACTAAAACAAATTTAAACAAAAAAGGGTAAAGTGGTGTCCAAGTTGTTATCATTCACACGAGACATTCTGGGTTGTGTAATGGGTAGCTTTGTTAGCTAACAAGCTGTGTTATTTACTGACAGGTTTGGCGAGAGTACATGTATGGTGGGGGGGGGGGGGGTCAAAGAGTCGAAGCAATTCAGTTGATTCCTTGTAAGTAGTGCTAGCCATATCTGTAGTTATGCAGTGAATTATGATAAAATCCATGCTACATGTATACCCTTGGCCAGGTATCATCCAGCTATGTACAGTTTCATATTGAATAAACCATCTTAAATTTGTGCGACTCGGAACTGTTATTAGTATAATTGCTTACTAACAAGTACAACAGGTTTACACTAATTCAGGCCTATTTGAGGTGCCATCCATTTTCATTATGAAGAAATTTGCAGGAAACAAATGTGTTACATGCTGAAGAAATTTATTTCAAATTGCTTATTTAGAGAAAACAGTTCCTCTTAAAGGCTATATAAAACTATGGAGGTGTTTTTCAACAAGTACATGTAGGTATACTAAATACCCTTTTACAAATAAGAAAAACACTGGGCAATCTTCAACTGGCAAACATTACATTTTACCAGCTGAAAATGTACTCTTGTTCCTCTGTGAAAATCAAAATACAAATCTGCAGTGTTGCTCTTGCATTGAAGGCAATATCTTTTAAAGTGAACTTAAATACATGAAATACACAAAATAATGTAAAGGTACTGTAACCTTTGAACTTTGAAAAGGTTTGCAGATTTGCAATTAGAAAATTGTCAATTTTAGTGTAATGACGGAATCCCCCACCCCACCCCCCCCCTGAACTTTTGCCGCGATACCCTTGCAAAAAAAAGTTTCTCGCCCCCGAGCTGTTCTGACTTTCTAGCCTCGAGTCTTGCACATCTTTTGATACCAAATACATTAAGTTCGGACCGCGGGTTGTCGCGCAGCAAAAGAAATTTCCGCCGCTATGCGCCGTGAAAACTTAATTTCCCCATAAATGTAGTGTACACAAAGCAGAATTACCATTCGTACATATGAATAATTAATTTGCCATAATTCCCAAACCCTTTGACCTATAGTCATGAAATTTCTTGGGTATGTTTATATTTGTTCTATGCATGTACCGAGTTTCACAATTTTTCGTCACTCGATGGCCGAGATCTGGGGGGGGGGGATCGATGTGCAGAATCACAACCCCCCCCCCCCCCCCCCCCCCCCCTCTGCTGTGAGCTGGTCAAAATAACCCGGCCCTTTTAGGGTTAAAGCCGAAGCTTTGTGCTTTTCAATGATACCTTAGGTTCAGTCCAGGGTCATGCATTATGGAGCACCATTGTCTTGAAGTTGTGGTGCAAAAATGCAGTTGGTTCACTTTCATTCTGGCCTTTTTGACAGTGTGTCTTTGTGGTCAAGAAATTGCATGAAACCAGAAGTTTGCAGGCTACACAGGATGCCTTTGGAGAAGCATTCCCAGACTTCTGCTGTTAAGTGTTTTGGAAAGATTCCCATATCTGGCCATCACTTGTCACCCTGTGCACAAACCCTATGGGACTGGTCTGAAAATTCGTGTTTTCTCCGTAAAAATTCAAAATTTGTCCCTGCTAATTTTGACTTTTTAGGACATATTATCACTTTCTGATGGCTGATAGGTCATTTAAGGGAAAAATTACTGATGGCTAGATATGGGAATCTTTCCAGTGTTTTACTCATGATTCGTGAATAAAATCCATGAATAAAAAGCATGAAATCTGTGTTGATTTTGTTCAGCAGGAAAGTAAACCAACTGCATTTTTGCACCACAACTTCAAGACAATGGTGCTCCATGATGCATGACCCTGGAATGTAACCCAATGATCACTAAAAAGCACAAAGCTTCGGCTTTATAGGGAATATACAACATTTGCAAACATCAAAAAAACCAAACTACCAAGTTTTTACAAAATACCTTACTAGGATGTTGGTAAATGACAGTCTAAAGCATCCTGTAAAATTATGGCACCTGGCTTCAAGTAATTTTCAAGAAAATGGTATTTTTGTTAACATTTCCAACGGTGGTCGGCCGACCACCGTTGGAAAAACCTAACTATTTTTCAACTACTGCTCCAAATTCACAATTTTTTTTTCAGTCCAAATTTTGTTTGCTATTGGTTACATGTTCATGAACGGGTGCAGGCCAGCTAGACTGGTTCCCTTACTTTACAATTTTCATCTATGAATTGATCCATTTTATCTTTAGTGGAGTCAGGGAACCAGACTACTGAAACATTTTTTGTTTTTCCTGGTTTTTTAAGCATTTTCGAACACAGAATTTCAAACATGTCAGTTATACAATATTTGATCTATTATAGTAACCCCTCAAATAGTTCATTTCTGAAAATTACAAGCCAATGATGTACAATCCCTTTAAAGAAGGATTACCTTTTTTTTTTTTTTAGACACCCTGTATTGAAAGCTTCACAAATACATGTTGGCCCCCAAAACAGCCTGTGCATTCACAGTGTTGGGCATAATGTACAGCTGATATAAAGCATATACATGTAACATTGCATAAGAAAACATCTCCAGTAAACTAGAGGTTGTAAGTTCAAGTCCCGTCTCAGAAAACTTGTTGTTTACACACTCTCTTCCCACTCGGTCCTTTTATAAATAATATGTCAGTGAAGGTCAAAGCTCAATATGAACCAACTGAGTTAATACTTGTTCAGTTTGAAAACTGTCTCTACATCAGGCACAAGCCGCCAGTGAATGGTTTAGGCTTGTGGCCGTCATACGCACAGTTTTCATGGCAACAGGTACCAAGCAATAATAACCCAAATATAAGTCATTAACCCACTTGTCCCTCTACCGCCCCAAATCGCCATGCCTATAACTCCATATACTAATACCCAAGCACTGTACTGTTTCATCGGAAATAAATACAATGTAATACAATAATGTACAGGTGCTAATGGGTCAAACAATAATTTAATTGAAGTATGGCTTGGCTCGTCTCAAATATATAAAATTCATAAATACCTAAGACAGTTTACCCATTCCTATTGGTCGAGAGCCCATCACGTGGCCGGTCTTAAACGGATGATAAAGACATGGCTAGCTGGTCTTAAACACTTTTCCATTGTCACATTAAATTTGGACTCCAGTCCAAAAATCCAGTGCCTCTTACCGTTTTATTGGTTGAACGTTCATAATACTCGCGTAGGCATGCGCAATACTACCAGTGAGTCAGTATTTTATAGTCCTAAATTCACAACGCAACGCCCCAGGTGCATTCTGCGCGACGTCGCGCAGTACGCGCGACGCGCGCGTCAATCTCCTTATAAGGTAAGGAATTGTAGAGGGACATTCCATATAGTTATAGTCAGAGGGGTGTTTGATACAACATGAAGTAAAATTGTTGAGCAAAATAGTTAGCAATGTCTAGTTTTTGACTTGTTTTGATTTTTTGACCGAAAAGGTATTTATGAATGAGAATAAATGTGTGTTTGGTCGGTATTAAACACTCTGTTTAAGACCGGTTTGAGTCTGGATGGGCGATAATTACCCTCGGCTTCGCCTCGGTAATTATCACCCATCCAGACTCAAACCGGGTAATTATCGCCCATCCAGACTCAAACCAGTCTTAAACAGAGTGTGATAATACCTCCCGAACACACATTTATTCCCTTAATAAAACATATTTCTCCACACACTCATTTCATGACTTCCCTTTCCCTACCCTCCCAAGCTCTACTTTTGATCTTGACAAGCTGTTCTCTAAATTCACTTTAGCTCTTGAAAATCTTCCTTGGAGGACCATCATCTTCTAAATCTTGCCTGACCGACTTCTCTTCGTCTTTCCGGAGGTCCTGGTTGGGAATGGGAAAAGTCTTTTATTTACTCATCAAATGACGCTCAGGAATTTTATTCAAACCCTCCTTGTACATGTAAGTGCATGTACTGGAGAAATTTGTTCTGCTTAAAAAAAATAGTTGTGAAAAAGGAAAACTAAGGACAATCCTACCCAAGTCCTGCAACAGGATATCATGAATGAATAAATGGAAAAAAACGGAAAGTATCACGGCTACATGTACTAATCTT